AAAAAAAACCTTACAGAAAATTAGAATAGATGGTCATTATCTCAATCTGATAAAAGCCATCTATGTGAAACCAACAGCCAACATCATACTAAATGGACAAAAACTGAAAGCTTTCACTGTAAAATTGAGAACAAGACAAGGATGTCCACTATCACCACTCTTATTCAACATAGTTCTGGAAACATTAGCCAGAGTAATTAGACAAGAGAAAAAAATAAAAGGAGTAAGGATAGGAAAGGAAGAAGTTAAACTATCATTATTTGTGGATGACATGATACTCTACATGGAAGACCCCAAAAGCTCCACCAAAAGACTTCTGGATTTAATAATCAAATTCAGTACTGTAGCTGGATACAAAGTCAACACTCAAAAAACAATAGCCTTCTTGTACACAAAATCAAACTCAGAGAGCAATAGCATCCAAAAAATGAAATACCTGAGTATTTCATTGGAAAGTCATTGGAATCAATCCAATGAAGGAAGTAAAAGATCTTTACATTGAAAACTATAATACTCTGAAAAAAAGAGATAGAAGAGGATATCGGAAAAAGGAAAGATATCCCTTGTTCCTGGGTAGGAAGAACCAATATAGTAAAAATGGCCAGGGCTGTGGATTTAGCTCAGTGGTTTCGCCGCCTGCCTCGCAAGCGCAAGGAACCAAGTTGAATTCCCAGTACCAAAAAAAAATATGGCCATAATTCCAAAATTGTTATACAGATTTAATGCAATCTCAATCAAAATACCAATAGCATATCTCACAGATTTAGAGAAAACAATCCTAAAATTCATTTGGAACCAGAAGAGACCTAGAGTAGCAAAAACAATTCTGGGCAAGGCTGTGGGAGGGCACCAGGGGGCAGTGCCTTTCCGGAGGATGCAGGCCTATGTGTGGCTCAGACCTGGGCCCAGGCTCTCAGGTTCTTTGAGTTATTGCCCCAATTCTTCTCCTTCCACCTATCCTCTCCCTCAGCCCCGAGACACTGTAGCTCCTGTTGCTGGTAGGGGGTACCTTGCCCTTTTGACCTTGGGCTTGACATGTGACTGACTGGGCTAACTCCTGTGTTTTGTTTGCTCAGGAGCTGGGATGGAATCCAGGGTCTCACACAGCCCAGTCAAGTATTCTATACCTAATTTCTTTCTTTCTTTTTTTACGTTTTTGAGACAAGGTTTCCCTATGTAGTTCAGGTTGGCCTTGAACTTGTGATCCTCCTGCCTCAGCCTCCCGAGTGCTGGGATGACAGGCTTGCCCCACCATGCCCAGCTTCTATACCTAACTTGTTTTTTTTAAATAGCAAAACATTTATTAGTACATTTTAGGCTTACATAATGCTAACACTCTACCTAACTTCTGAGATCAGTATCACATAGGACAGCACTTGTGTCCTATACACCAATCCAGAACACTGCGGCAGCTAACCTGACTCAATATGGCGATTTCTATGTGTCACACACTTTTTCCAGGAAAGAGGCCCAAATTATATTAATATTTTAATAAACTTACACACTGAAATACACATATCTACATCAATCACAGGTGTCTTTTTTTTTCTAGCAGAAACTAATTTGACACAAGACAATGCTAAGGGAAAGAAACTAAACCCCCTGGCATATTCTGGGAGGATCCACCCCTCCCTCTCTCAACTCCATTTCCCTGTCCTCTTCTCTACTTCCTGGGGCTGGCCCTCCTCCGTTCTGACTTTCTCCTGGGAGGGAAGAGAAGGGAGGGGAAGGGGAAGGGGAAGGGGGCAAACAGGTAGAGAACAAGACTGTGAAGTACTGGGAGATTCACATGTTCCTGGGTCCTCTGGGCCCAGCCCTTCCTTCTACCTCTCCTCTCCCCTGTCTCTCTCCTTTTTTAATACTGAGGATTGAACAGGGGCCTTTGTGCTGTACTACATCCCCAGCCCTTTTCTTTTTTTTTTTTTTTCTGAGACAGAATCTGGCTTAGTTGCTAAGTAACTTGCAATCTTTCTGCCTCAGCTTCCCAGCGTGTGGGATGGAGGGTATGCACCACACCTGGCTTCCCCTTGCTTTCTCTGAGGTCCAAATTCTCACCTTTGAGAAGAAGGCTGAAGCTGCCCAGGCGGCTCACGATGCAGTACACCTCAGGCAGCCGCTTCCCTTTGCCTCCAGGCTGGAGAGAAATGCAGGCCTTCAGGAGCATTACCAACCATGGAGAGGCAGACCCAAATGCTTTTTGGGTCCATTGCATACCATTTCCACACATCATAGTTTTTGCTTTTTTTTTTTTTGAGACAAGGTCTCACTATGTACTTCAGGCTGGCCTTGGTATGAAGCCCAGATTGGCCTTGAACTCACAGTAGTTCTCCTGCCTCAGCCTCCTGAGTGTTGGTAGCTTTTGTTTTTTTGTTTGTTTTGTTTTGGTTTGGTTTTGGTACTGGGGATCAAACTCGGGTCCTTGTGCTTGTGAGGCAGGTGGCGAAACCACTGAGCTAAATCCCCGGCCCTGAGTGTTGGTAGCTTTCAAAAACCAGTGAGGCATGGGTCGCTGCCAGGCAGCACCTCCGGTCACTCTGTGTCTATGTTCCCCTTCTCTGCAGCCCCTTCTAGGGTATGGCACACGTCCCACTAAGCAAGGAGGCCGGGCCATACCTGCAGCACGTAGTTCCTCCTAAGGAGTCATTTTGACACCTTTAGAATGACAATTTCAAATGAGAAGTTATTGCTGAAGATCTTTTTAGTAACTGACTTTTAAGCTCATTTTCAAACCAAAAGGGAAATCAACCTTGATACTTTTAAGCCTAAAGTAATTTAAATGACACAATTTACCAACCTGCTTAACTTTTCAATCATTAGCCATGCTTTTTACCTGCTATTTAATCCACCAGATATTTATCAAATGCCTACAGTGACATGCATTACTTGACTCTTTAACTTTTTTTTTTTTGGTACCAGGGATCGAACTCGGGTCCTTGCGCTTGCGCAGCAGGTGGTGAAACCACTGAGCTAAATCCCCGGCCCAACTCTTAAAATTTTTAGCCTGTTTCTAAGGCTCAAATGAACTGAGTGGAAAGAGATTTCCACTACTAAACATTTTCAGAAGAATGGGCCTCCAAAAGCCAGGCCCTAAAATGCTGTAGTGTGATCTCTCAGAATCATTTCCGGACTCTGACAGACGACTGCCCCAAAGGGGACACTGGCGTGGCCTTTGTCTCCTGAGCAGCCCCTCTGAGTGCTCTCCCTAAGGAATCCCTGCCCGGGGGGGGGGGGGAGAATTAGAAAGGACACTTATCTTAAGGATGGACAGGTGTTTAATTTGGTGAGAAAACAATAGAGAAAATATTTTCTTTCTGATGGAAACAATTACTTTTGCTTACCAATAAAATGCAGGTGAGGCCCCCCCCCCAAAAAATACAAAAAACAAAAAACAATTCTGGGCAACAAAGGTAAGGCAAGGGGCATTATAATCCCTGACTTGAGATTATACTACAAAGCTACTGTGATAAAAATAGCATGGTAAAACAGCCAAAAAACAGACCCAAGGATTAGTGGAATAGATTAGAAGATGCAACAACTTCAGACATACTCAGTCACTGTACTGTTAACAAAGGAGCCAAACTACTTCACTGGAAGAAAGATAGCCTCTTTAACAAATGGTACTGGGAAAACTGGCTTTTCACATGCTGAAGGCTGAAACTAGAACCATATCTTTCACCACATATTAACTCAAATCAAAATGGATCAAAGATCCAAAGATCTCTAACACTAAATCTGCTAGAAGAGAGTATAATAGGTAGAACTCTTGAAGACATTGGTATAAGCAGAGACTTTATGAACAAATGAGCATCTGAAATGAACAGATACTTCTCAGATAAAGAAGTTAAAATGGCAAATATATGAAAAAATGTTCGATATCACTGGTCATTTGAGAAATGCAAATTAAAACAATGTTGATATTACGCCTCACTCCAGAAAGAATGGCTGTTATCAATAACAAATTCTTTTTTTGTGTGTGGTACCAGGGATCGAACTCAGAACCTTGCACTTGCAAGGCAGGCATCGTGGCACTGAGCTAAAACCCCAGCCCACAATAACAAATTCTTGCAGGGCCATGGGGAAATAGGAACCCTTCTCCACTGTTGGTAGAAGTATAGACTGATGCAACCACTGTGGAAATCCATGTGGAGAGTCCTCAAAAACTAAAACTAGAGCAACCAGATGTCCCAGTGTTCCTTGTGGCCTCTACAGTGGAAGAAAGCGAGCATTGTTTTCAGCAGGCCGCTCTGGGTGCTGTGGGAGCCAGGCCACCTTGGTGGGCTGACCCATGAAAAAGTAGCACCTGGCCACTGCAAACAAGTGTCAGTGGGACCCCATTTCTGGACAACCCCAGGACAGAGATTTAAACTGTAGCATGGAAGGTGAGCCAGTCCCAGCACCCAGAAGGAAGCTCCCCCGCCACCATCCCAAGCTCCTAGGGCAGAGAAGATGAGCCACACGGGTGCCAGAAGCAACCCCACCCCACCCCATGGAAATGAGAAAACATGTAAACAAGCCTCAAAAACAGACTTCTGGATCACCTACAGCAACCCCAAAGGGAAATGAGATGGAACAATCTCAACCACCTGGACTCTCTGAATTGGCAACCAAAGAGGATCTGGGAAAAATGAAATCAGAAATAATTTCTCAGATAACAGCAGAGATTTTGCTCATGGTGCAAGACATGATTAATAAATCTAGAGAGGACACAGATAAAAAAATAGAGGATCTGAGGAACATGATGGAAT